AGGGACTATAAATTATCAAATATTTTAAAGTATGGCCACAATAGGCCATGACAGAATAAAGGTGGCCTCCTGGCTACCTCTCCTCTCCCTGACAGCATTACTTTCAGCATACAGCTCTAAAAAGTTTTGTAACACTTGAGAAGCAAACAACTCTGAACTCCCTTGGTTCAGTTTCTTGGATAGTGGCTACATGATAAACTAGCACAAAATCATCCACTACAATCTTAGTCTCCAGCTGGAGAAGAGAACCAGTGTTAAGAAGGTATCTGTCTTTACAGACAAGGTTTGTGAAAACAAATTGGAAAATTACTTATGGGTCTGCTGGGAGTCTTATGATTTGGGGCAAGGAAAAAACAGCCAAAACATCCGAAACCGCTTTCACATAGGGACATACCTATAGTATACTGCTCAGAGCATTGCTTTAGTAAACAGTTACTCAGGAAGCATTTAGCCTTTACCAGCCTAAAGTATTCGCCATTATTGAATACAAATATATACTCTCTTCCCCTCTCCAAAACCTTTAGATCAGACATGTCACTGATTTGAATTCAATTCTAAACTTTGAATACCTTCAGTTAGTAGTCAGCTTACTAAAAAAAATGCTAAGATCGTATGTTTCTATTTGACAAATAGCAAAAAAAAAAATCTGTTCTGAGCATATGCCTTGTAACATTTTTAAATTTTTATAAAAGCTCTTTTTTTTTCACAGATCAAAGTTATTTAAGATCAGTTGTCTCTGAAACCAGTACACCTTACTCTTTTCACATTGGCAGAAGCAATCCAGAATACTTACATAACTACCCTAAGGTTTAGGTACAGAGTTATAATTCTTAGCAAGCCATGTCTGTGAACATCTGATTATTTTTTCCTCATCGCTTTGAAGCAGCAGCCTTGTTTGCTCACCATTAAAAAAAGTATGCTTTCACCTGGCAACAAGTTGACAGCCTGTATCTTCTTAACATCCCCTGAAGTTCACATTTGTAAAACCACCTTGTAGGGCAAACAGGTCAATTGTTGACTTTATACTTTTTAGAGATACAGCTCTGTATTCATTTCTACAGAGAAGCTGACATCTTGGACATACTAAAGACTACAGATTCTCAGGACTTACCTCCTTCCAAACAGCAGCCAAAGTGTGCATGTGGGGAAGAATAAAATAAGAGTTATAAATGTAAGATATTGTTAAAGGATGCAAAGGAAATTCCTTATTCAGACTGAGCAGGAAGTGAATAAGAGACAGAAGTACATCAAGCTAAAATGTTATTCCCATTTTCACTACAAACCTGCAAATTCATGATCAACATCAAAACGGTTCCAGTATTCCATCAGCACTATTTATACACAAGTCTACCAATGTTTATTTTTGTGAATTTTCCCTGCAAAGGTAACTCATTCTGGCTTTTCTTTCGGTTTGCCATTTGGGATCTTTAGCACACATTAGCAGTTAACTAATTTACAGCACTTGTTGACACCTTCCAAAAAAGCATGTGGCTAAGCAATATGTAAGCTTTAACTAACTTAACATTACAAGAACCTTCTCTTCTCAAACTCAGTCTTTAGAAAAATCTGTACGCTCAACAGTTTTGGTGCTTAGTCACATAAAATTGCCCTTTCAAGTGATAAGATCCCAGACAACTGTGTGTCTGAAAAAAATGAGCAAGGAATAAAAAGCAGCTGCACACAAGGTATGTGTAGTAACTTCCTGCAATGGCTTGGCAGACCAGTTTGTTTATCCCAATTCAAATACCAAGTACTATATTAATACATAAAGGCAGTAACTTGCTTTATTTTCAGACACAATCCTCCAGGATCTCAGCACTTAAAAATCAGAAGCCTTATGTGACAAAGCACCAAAAATGTTAACACACAAGCATACTTGCACAGATGTTAAATACCAATGCAGTGTACTTACAATTGCTGCGAAACAACACAGAAAAGATTTAAGATGGATTTAGAATGGCCACTACACTTGCTTTCAAGTAACACTGAATATCAGAGAGCAAGACACAAACTGTAGTAGTGAGTTTGCATTTTTATACTGCCTTTCAGGCAGGGTCATATATCATTTTGTCAGCAGCAGTTGAAAGAGTTATTAGTTGTACTCTCTCTTTTAATCTACTCCCACCCTCATCATTATGGCTCACTGTTCACTCCCACAGTCTGACCACATATTTGCTTCCACCCAATATTAAGAATATTCTTATTTTAAAGGGCCAAGAAAGGACCAGGGATCTAATTATTTCATAGACGCAGTTTAGTGAACAGCCACAGAAGCATCTGGAGAGGCTCAACCATGGGTATGGTAATTTATGGCAATAAAGTAGAAAAAAAATATTGGAATGTCCAGCTTCAGACTGGATCTGCTGTTGATAGAAGAATGAAGCATAACTACAGCTTTTAAAAGTTAAGAGCTTTGTGCACCTTACCATCTACTAAAAGACTGCATTCAATTTAATTTGTAAGTACAGTTTCCCTTCCCAACAGTAAAGCTTAATATTATCCAGCTTAACATAGGTATCATAGTTCTTAAAACCACTTGAACACCATCTATGGTTTCAGGATAAGTAGTCTAGCTAGGTTTCAGCATATTCAACTACACTGTCAGGAACAGCAATTCCAAATTTTGAAGACAAATACTGGCACCTATTCTATATGGACATACAAGCCCTTAAAAAAAAAAATCAATAAAAGCAGAAAAAGCCCTCTAAAGATCCAAAGATGATACCTCCTGAGGCAGGGCAGAAATAAGCACAAGACTGCACTGACAGGCCTGTTCCTTGTCTACTGGATAAAGTTCATCATAGAGCAATATTGACTTCATTAGCCTAAAGATAATGGGTGCTGCTTTGAAATACAGACCCTTAGCTTGGATGCACTTAATTGCTTATGGAACCCTTGAACTCCTACCTGAACCATTCTTGGGGATGGTTCATGCAGAATGTATTCATGTCCATATCCACGACTGGTCTTTTGTGAACTGATGAGAAAGTAAACGCATATATCATTGAAGTATGTAATAAGTGACATAGGGTGACATGTAAGAGAAAATAATACTTTGAAGTTTCTTTGAATCAAAATATGTGCTACTGACCAGGGTTCAGAATTACCACGGAATTATCTGTGGTAGAATCATTAAAGCAGGGAACAGTGACTTGACAGTACAAAACTAGGATGGATAACTGCAATCTTACCTTCTGGGAAAAATAAACAGGAAAATTGCATGCCTAAATCTCCTTTCTTAATCTATCGATAACTTATGAACAAAATAACTGGATAAATCCAGGGGGTTTTGTGGTGGTTTTTTGTTTTGGTGGGGATCTCTAGACAAAAAAATATGAAGTGGTGCATCGAAAGTACAAACTCTACTTCAAGTAATTGAATAAGAATGTACAACTCCTTGATGCTATATAATAAAATCCCCTGAACTGACAGACCAGGTGAAAAGCACAAGTTCAACCAGCTTCTGCAGAACAGGAATTCTGCTGCTGATACATCCTTTAAAGAGAAAGGTAAAGTGCCATTAAGGTCCTCCTGAAATGACTGAATCCACATTTAAATAGAGAACTCAGACTAGTCATGGACTTGTCTACAAGGTTCATTAAAATGGGCACTTCCTGATAATTACCCTCCTAATGATTGCGGAATTCAGCCAGAGGACAAAACTGTTCAGTAAACAACAACCTACTTCATTAAGTATATAAAGGATTTCAACAGCTGAATCTTTTATCATTCTTTGACAACCTTCCCCATTTTCCTTTATTTCACCTTCTTTCTCCTCTGGAGGATGCTGCATCATAGTTTGATGAGCCTTCACTATTATTAGCTTTTCCTTGTTTACAACTAAGAAGAGTGTCAGAAGTTTTCCTTCACTGAGATCAGTCTGGATTTACCATCAACTTTTATGGTGCTAGGAGGAAGAATGGGTTTGATCAGTAATGAACATTTTAAGAGAAACCCTTGTACTTCAACAGCCTCTCTTTCCAAAATCTACTTAATTTTTTCTAAAAGGTGGAATAACTAGTAATTAGATTATGAGACATTAGTAGAGGTGTTAAATACTCCTACGCATAGCAAGTAGATGAAGCATACATTTCCCTTGCAATGTTCTTCACTAACACACATGTTAAAGGCACTCCATGCTACGGGCGTGAGGTTGACCTTCTGTTACACACTTGGGCTCTCGGTACTTTAGAAGGTGCGTTGGACCTTCAGATTCATTCCTACTGTTATTGTATGATGTTGGAGCATTGCTATCTCTCCTCCTGTTTTGAACAGCTATCACACTTAAATGATCTATACTCAGTATACCTATATTAATGTATCTACTATAACGAGTAATTTGGAAAGTTTCTGTTTTCTTCATGTCATCACCATCTTCATTTCATTATCAGTCACTGGAATAGGCTCCCTAGGGAAGTGGTCACAGCACCAAGCCCGTCAGAGTTCAGGGAACACCTGGACAATGCTCTTAGTCATATTGTTGAGGCTGCAGGTAGTCCTGCAAGGAGCAGGGAGTTGGACTCTATGATCGTCATGGGTCCCTTTCAACTTGAGATATTCTATGATCTACTTCACAGTTATGAAGAAGGCTAAATCCATGCAGACAGTCATTAAGCAGGAAAAAAAGTACACAGAAGACAGTACAACACATTAACATAAGCAATGACAGGAAAATGCTACTGGTAATGTCTTTAAACCATATTCAAGAAGAATGCTCTTTAAGAAGAGGAACTTTTAGGTAAAGGAATGAACAGTAACACTATAAAACAAACTATTTCCATGCATGATCATTATGGGAAGAAACCACCCAAAAAAAAGAACTATATTATATCAAATCAATTCTTGATTCCCAGTCACAAATACATTCTGTTAAAGTGCCCAGGTTTTTTTCTTCTCAGATAGTGCAAGAGCACTCAAAGATCCCAAGCAAAAGTAATGCAAAATTACAGGCTACAATGTACTGTAACACAAGAGTAACTTTATTTCAAAATCATACAAATTATAAACATAAAGATGTAGTTACACTGAAATAAACCCTTCTCTTCAAGTATTGGAATACTTAAGCAACAACGCTGCCATCAAAAAAATGCTTTTATTATTTCTTATTAAGAAATTTTATCTTATGGAGCGATACATCATGAAATCAATTGTTGTACATCTAGGAAATTTACCAATAGAGCTCTCTTCCACCGGGGTGTACACTTTGATTTGTCTCATATGAGTGTCTCTTCCATTCTGGTGATTAGCTAGAACAGCAATCTGAATCATAAATGTGCGAATAGGCTTCTTATGAGTGTCTGTTAAAGGAACGTGAATCCAGCCGCTTGGTTCCACTAATTCAAGTTGCTGCCAAAAACAAGACAAAAAAGCAAAACGTTCAGAAACAGTTAACATACTCGATATAAATTATCACATACTAAACCTGGCTAATAGACCAGAGTCTTGTAAATCAGATTTTAGTCACTTTTTCAAATGAATTTGAAATAGTACAGTTGAACACTCATAGCTAATTTACTGCTGGTGTAGTTGGATACAAATTAATTCGTTTGACTACAGTTGTGTTTGCTTTTGCCTTTCAGAATCTACCCCTCATTTTGTGCCTTAACCTTAAAATAAAAATCAATACAAAAAATAAAGACTTGAGTATAAATTCAAGAAAGTCAAAGCAGTACTATTTGGGTCTTTTTACTGAAGTACACTGCTCAAAGATAACAGAAAAGAGGCATCTTGACGTTAAATTGTTTTATCTAGGTACTCTGAACTAAAATACGCTAGAACGACTTACATAGGAAACTAAATCATCCACCTAAAGTCTGGGTTTTCATAAATTCCTTAGATTATTAGGAGGACTAGGGAGGAGGAAAAGGAAGCTGACAGAGGAAAAAATACAGGATAACTCACAGACTTCATTTCACCTATGTGTCAAGACAGATGCCTGGCCAATAAATAATTGCTGCACCGCCATTTAATCATATTCTAAGGTCCATTTTGACTTGGCTTTTATACAACAAACCAAGTGTAATATGATTTTATTTTTCCTTTTTAATTTTAATCCTACAGAAACCAATGTCAAAACAAGCAAAGAATTGCATTTTGTTAACTAACCCACATCACTGACACATCAGCATGCTGAAATCAAGATAGATGCTAGGCAGCAGTGTGGTAACAGCTTTTGTTTAAAGCTAGTTGCCCAACTTCAAAGCACAGCTCAAAACACATATGGAAGAGCACACAAATAAGCAGAAGTCTGAGGGGGGGGGAACACAACAAAACCCAAACCAGTTGGCCACAAGCAAGTGGACTTCACACAGCTAAGCAAGTAAGACTGCTGTTCTTAGCAGCAGAGTTCCTCTAAGCAAGATCTATGCTCTGAGCAGCTCAAAAGTCTCATCTTTCTCCTGAAAATACTGCATGACAAACATCATGTCAAATGCCTTGCCTTTGCTGAAGCTTTCAAAAGACCAGTCTGAAATCTACTGTTTCAGTGGCAGCAAACACCCTGAGGGAATGACCCAAGAAACAAGTAAAAAAAAAGTTGGATAACTACTTTAACTTTAAAGACACAAAAAAAGCTCTCACGTCTCCACCTTAAAAAAAAAAAAAAAAAAAAAAAAAAAAAAAAAAAAAAAACCCCCACAACCCAAAACTCTCCATTGTTGTAGGCTCTCCAACAAATAATTTCCAAAGTATTAAATTCACTAAACCTTAGCAACAAAACTTTTCACTCCAGGAGCTAGACACTTCCACAAAGACACATTCACTTTTTTTGTTGTAACCCTGTCCCTTACAAAAAACCTACAAAGTCTTTTGTTTGCTTAGGAAATTTCAGGTAACAGTTGGCTTCAAGTGATAAAAAAAAAAATGAAGTACTGTTGAAGCAGCTTTACAAAGGAGAAATTTATCACAGTGAGGTAGTAGTCAATGGTTTGAGCAAGCATGCTTTCCATCTCCACAGTGAGCAGAAAGGATGAGGATCCCAGTAATACTTTGTTCAATGAGTACTAAGGTAAAGTAGCTATGATTTAGAAGAGAATGAAAAGGTTATTGCTAATTAAACTTACCCTTTAATATTATTCTCACAGTTTACAAATTTTCACTGCTGATTCAAAGTAGAAAAATTAAGTTTCAGAGCTATGGTATTGGGATTTTTATGTTTGGATCAGTATGAAATGGATTAATACAGTTAAAAAAAATGTACCACTTTCTATAGGTTGACATCTTTGGTTTCAGACAGATCCAATATACTTCAGGTTTGCATGCTTTATTGGGAAAGAAATAGCAAAGTGAAGTAACAACTCCACCTCCAGAACCAAGAGAGCTACCACGGGATCGGCAAAATTGGACTATTTGTACAAAAGGAAGTTGGATGCTTATTAAATTCAAAGAGAAAGTCACATCTTTTACTTTAAGAGAATTATTAGGGTCATAAAGGTAAGCATTGGAAAGTTAGAGTTGCAAAGGTAATTTTACTAATGTAATAATATACCTGTATCTTATTACATAAATAAACTTTTGATTACATATTTATCAATGCTTTGTTTCATCCCTGCTCAACGGGAGGTGGTTATCTGCTTTATTTATAACATGCTATTTTTCAGTCCTACTACAAAGGCAACCAATTTCTTCACAAGCCTTTCTACAGATGGGACAAGTAATTTCTACATCTGTAAAACAGGCAACTGAGACATTAGGTTAATTAGATTCAAATATTCCCTAGTTCCAGATGTCAAATTTCACATACTTTGAACCAGATTTCTACTGTCCCTAGTAGCATACAGTCTTTTCCATGAGGTTTAGCTCCCACTGAGTTCACTTGCAATTATAAGTGTCTGCTTTTCTGCAAATTGATAAGAGTTCTCAAACCAGACGCTAGAACACACAGCATGAGCAGCCAACTAGGAACAGTTGTTTGAGTGCATCATGTACAAACACCATGACTAAGCACAGATTCCACGCAATTCATCAAGCAGCATTCAATTGCCTTAGCCACAAAGCCTTTTTTTTCATTCCTGAAATCTCTGCTTCACTTACTCCACATGTTCCAACTTCTGTAACAGATGAATACACATCCTTTACTGTACAAATCCTAGACTCATCCTCAGAATAGATCCCTTTCCCCATTCCAATCAAATAGTTGCCTCTTGGACAAAGCATGTGACACTTGTGATGAAGTTGGAGGCTGTACTACAATGTATTAAGTGCAAGAGGCCTGAGTTAGACTTAAACATTTGAAAAAAGTCAGCTTTTGATTTTTGCCCTCTAAATACCATCACCATACTGTGACTTTTTTGAATCTAACTTTTTTTAAATTGATGCCTACATAGTTCATTAAAGTGATTAAAATGGTGAGACCCACTCAACTACTGAAGTTTAAATACAACAAAACCTAATGATTATTATCTGAACATCCACTAGAATAAGAAGTAATATTTTGCCAGTATGATACACACATTTTCTGTGACCAAAGGAATGGTACAAACCAGAAACACACACACACTCCTAAATACTTCTCCTCCAAGGCTGTCATGCTCTTTCAGATGAGTGAGACCATTTCTTTTTCCAGAGGGCACAGGTCCTTCACCAGGGAGAAGGAGTAGGACATGGGAAAAGGCGGTGGTGGTACAAGACAAAATGCTGCCCACTCTTCGTTCAATGTCAGCACTCAGATCCAGCCGTTACAATTCCTAGCAGAAGTGGGATGAAATATGCAGTTCTACTCTGCCTGGAGCATTCCCAGTGTGAACAGAATCTAAAGGAAACTTACTGTGAAGTTTTAAGAAATTCCTATTAAGCCCATGCAAATGGCAATCTTTCAAAGCCTTGTAAACCGGTCTGGAAATTTGGGTGGATTTTTACAGGGAGGCAAAAGGCACATCCTCAACACAAAGGCTGAACTATTGCCAAATTTCAAATCCCTGCTTCAGAGCTTGGGGGCACTGGACCATCAAAGGAGGACACCAGAATATTCTCACACAAGCAAAATAGCATACTTTTCACTAGCCTTATTCTTGGAACAGAACTGCTTTGGGGGAAACTTTCAAAAAAAAATTCAGCCCAAAGCAGACATCTGGCATGGAAAAAATCTGTCTGAACTGAACTTTGGCAAAAGTTATAAAGTAACTAAGAGTTAAGCCTTTAAAATGGAAAGGGTCACACAGCCTTAAGTACAGGTGGCACTAGCAGCTCTACCTATAGTAAATATTATACTTTAAATCCACTTCAGTTGACTTTGCTGTCAACCCTGTTCTTTAAAAGCACTAGCCACTGTATATACATACATATATGTGTGTGTGTGTGTATATATATATATATATATGTCTCACCCCAACTCTACAGTGTAAGTCCACTATGAGATTAAGTTTCCTCCTGTATTTTTTCCTCCTACGTAGGTCATTAAGAATCAGTCACAATTAACTGGCTTCCAGGAAAGTTAAAAATCAGCTCTATTATTATTTACCTGAGTGAAATTAAAAACTGGAAGTTTCTTTCAGTTTTATGTTTTACAGGAAAATATTCAAAAAGGGAAACAAAGGAAAGAATCAATGCACATTCAATATTAATAATTCAGGACAGTTCCTGGGGCTCTAGACTAATCTTACATACAATACACCAAAGGCCTAGGGTTTGGGCTTTTTTAAAATTTGCTTCTAATACTATAATTTTTGTGACAATTGGTAAACAAGAAGAGCATAAAAGTCAAAATAAAGGGATAAAAATTAAAATGGAAAAATCACTCACCTGTCCTTTGCTGCTGTTACATACTCTTATCTATCTCTTCTCCTGCTTTTTCTCCATTGCTTTCTTATTTTTCCTGTCCTCTGCGTGCTACAGCTTTACCTACGGACATATACTCCCACTCCAGTAATCCATGTTATTTTGAAAGTTGAAGCAGAAATAGTGTTCTCAACAGAAATCTCCTCCCCAGCCAATTTAATAGCCCTGTTTCTTCACTTTATTGTATTGTCCAGAGGGTCTACAGAATTCTGTACACATGTGGCAGGGCTACTATTGCAACTCAAGGGTGTTCTACCATAGAAGATGCAAACCACATAACAAAATAAAAGTTTAAGAAAAAAAAAAAAAAAAAAATCAAGGCCAAAACAACCAGAGGCTTCAGAAAGATGACTGAGCACAAGACCAGAGCTTTTAAGAGGAAGCTTGTTCTATACTGGTATTGCTGGCCTCCTTACAGTATAGGAAATTATTTATCCAAAGCAGGTTTTTCTATTGTACTTAATCCTACCTAATTTGAATATTGACCTCTTTTCCATACTCAGTGATATTCTGCTTAAATTCTGTGGTGTCTTCAAAGTGACATAAAACTCAAACTGCTACTTCTGCTAGGC